AATATTTATGTTTATTTTCTAAGAAAAAATTCTTATCATGAAAAATAGAAAAAAAATTAATAGCATAATAAACACTTACTCATTTAATTGTTAAAAATTCTTGTAAATATTTTTAAAATATTCATATTAAAAAACACATATATATTACATTAAAATTAACGCTGTTAAAAATAAAAACATTATTGATTTTTCAAAGAAACTTCTTATATATATACATAATAAAAAAATGCATTTTTCTGCGAATTTTATTTTTATCTTTCTACTAACAGATATGAAAATAATGCGATTGAAACTCTAACGTCCTCTTGAAATTGTAACGTAACAATTCTTCAAAAATAGTTGATACTTTAATCGATAATTCATGTTCTTTTTATCTCTTATTTTAAACTCCATTACATTAAGTGCAACTTTTAAAAAAGGGTCATAAAATAAGCCAAATCTATGTGAATTTTTGTGACTTAATATGCAAAGAACATAGAGAAATTAATAATTAATTAAAGGATATAAAAGAGAACCATTCTTCATAGTTTATATAAATTTAATCGCACTTTTGTGTTGCCAGTCATGAAGAAATGTCAGAGTTACTTTCTGAATTCATAATGAACTAGGTATTAATTCGACCACACCCTTATAACGTACAGTACATTGAGTTTATACAATTTTAGATGAGATTATAGAGGATTATTGTTACTTGCAAAGGTGTAGCATGTATGATCGCACGGACAGATAAATTACAATTTTGATAAATATATATCAATTTATTATGACTGATAACTTAGAAATATTATAATAAATGTGCCATATGACCTTAAATTATCGAAGCTTATTAGGTTGTTGAACTTTAAACATTTCTATTGAATGAAGCTTTTTAAAGTAGATGTTAAGAAAATAGGATATATGAACAAAAAATATATTATATTTTTTTTCTTGATTTTTATCAACCGAAAATACTAGGAAATTTTACCACCTGGTCGAATGTTCCTAGTATTGCTTTTAACCTTCCTCTCGGACACGAAGCACAGTATTGTGTGATCCGTGCAAGGGTCATTTTTGCTTAGACGGCCGTGACCGTGACATGATTCCATGCCACGAAAGTTTGTCTGTCCCTCGAAACGCTCTTCTAGGAAAAAAACATGCCTTCTTGTCTCAAACGTTGTCAACTGGTTCGTTGCACGATCTCAACGAGAGAGGGTCGTTGGCGCCCCAGGCACGTGACTAGTATGGATCCTGTTTTGCAGACAAGATAATTCCGCTAAGGCCACTGGTTAAATTTTCGATAATACCATGCAATTATCATAAAATATTACGTATGGGCATTTAGGTTTACATTTAAAAATTCCTTTATTTTTTGTTCGAATTTAAATTAAACGATTGGACAGATGGTAATTTTAAAAATCTATACGATAAATAACAGAATCAATTATTATAATTGAAGTAGAACTTCCCGGAAATTGCCAGATGATGAAAAATATTAAGTTGCTTTGCATTAAATATCTAAATTTTGTTCATTTTAAATCTTTTTTTTATTCGAAAAATCTTCATAAAAAAGATAATAAATTTATATTAAGCTTATATTTAATTTTTATTTTATCTTCAAACTTTCAGGTATTGCAAACGACCGGTTATTACTACGGGGGATTATCGTGGAGGCAAGCTACGGAACTGTTGCAAGATACTGCCATCGGGACGTTTCTTATAAGAGAAAGTTCTGACTCGAGTTTTCTGTTTTCTCTCAGTGTCAACACGGAAAGAGGACCTACTAGTGTTAGGATACATTATATCAATGGTCAATTTCGTTTAGATTCCGAAGAGAGCATTGCAGGATTTATGCCAATTTTCGATTGTGTGGTGCAACTAGTTGAATATTACGTTCGACTTAGCAAATCGTCTAAGGGTGCTACGTGTGTTTGGTTGGATAATACAGGGCGTCGGGACTTACCTATATGCCTAAGTAGGCCACTCTATCACTCCGTGTTGTCTCTGAAACATCTCTGCCGTTTAGTAGTAAATGGAAGGCTACACTCGCACACGGATTGGATCAGTGAAGTAGTACTGAGGAGGTTAGGTCTCCCTCAAACTTTAGTATCATATCTCAGGGAATATCCCTATCTACATTGACATGACGATGGGGATTACGAGCATTTTATTACCATTCCTTGTGTTCGTTACAGATGTGAAAATCTGGATGTTCGAGACACTTTTAAGTTATTGTATACGGGTTGAGTTAGCGGTCGATATTAATTCCTAACGTCAGATAATTGGATTCGATTTAAAAGTGACATGTACAGTACAATGAGNTAATATAATATTACATAGAAATGTTATAAATAAAATCATAAATGCTTAAATTTATAAGTTTTAAAACAACAATTTAATAATATATATTAATAAGTTTATTAAATAGATTATGAATAATCTGTGTAATTAAAAATATTTCGAATATTATTAAAATTTTATTTTAAAATATAAAAATAAAATACAATATTCATCGCTTAGTAATTATCGAATTAATAAATTAATTACAAGGAAAAATATTTTGACGTTGATAGATATTTAATAAAATTAAAAATTGTAGGAAATAATATATTTTAAAAAAGGAAATAACTGTATTTATAAATTCTTTGCCAAGAATAACGTTAATTAAAAACTTCTATAATGAATGGATTTATTTATTTATTTTCTGAATTTTAAGAAAGTTTGAAGATTAATTACCAAATGACTAAGAGGGAAATAATAATGGTAGCATTAAGTGTTAATTTAAAAATATTCTGATTTGAATTTATTTTTCAAATTCAAACTATGGAAATTTATAAAATTAAGACAGGTGAGATGAGACCTGAACTAATCACAAATGTGGGGTCCTCTGTAAATTATTAAAAGTTTATGAACAAAATAAATTAAACAGATTTTTTTCACCATTTGACAAAAGAAAATTTATAATATTTTAATATTATATTTCTGAAGACCTTTCAAGGCTCAGGCCAAACAGTTTTGCTGGTTATTCTGTATGTGGATAGAACACATAGCTTAAAAATATATTACAAGATTTCAATTTTTTGGCTTAACAATAAGTTTTTTCTTTAAAAAATGTAAAAATTCGGGAAAAAAATAATTGCAAAGAATATTCAAGATTTAACGTGATTCATTGAAAATTGGATAAGCCAACGTGATGTGCATAATAAATGTTAAAATGTTAGTTACTGGTACATTATGATAATTTGTGCATGAATAAGATTTACATTCTTTTAGGAATTCTGTATAAATTCTAATAATATTTTTTAGTTTTAATTCTTCTGCCTAGAGGGCACGCCGATGGTTTTTTTCTCTACCCACCATGATTTCGGCTAATCCATAATAGGGACAATTGGATGATGAAAGATCCTGATCACCCACTCAATAATTTCGAATCTACCGACCAAGATTAGAACTCAGCTAGAATTTGGGTGGTTTACGATCTTATTTTCTCTGCTTTTTAATTGTTAATTAACTTTACAAATATGATATTTAAGATATTATACTTCTTTTTTGATAATCATACCAGAGTCTACTATATACAGTTTATTTTTTTATCTACTTGTTCTTTTATATATTATATATACTGTATATATACAGTAGTATAGTATAATAGTAGCATATACAATAGTATATATTTTTCAAATTTTAAAAAATATATTTATAAATTAATTTAACTAGGATAATCAAGAAGTCCCGTGCTGCGTTTGATCATACGAAAATAAAATAATGAATTTTAGCTACTAAAAATTATTAGTTTTTATAATGCAGCTTAATTTAAAAGATCACTTCAAAACTTATTAAACCAGAGTCGATAGATATACTAGTCTCTTAGCTATGTTATAATGTGGCAGGATGCCGATAATTGGCGCTCATGTCGCTTTGCGGCGAGAAGTTGGTTTATCCATTTGGTTAGTAGACAGTTTTGCCGTTTTCAAGCATTTTTGTATTTTGTTTTCCTATGAGAAAAAGAAAGAACAGCATCAGATAAATTCAGATATAGGTAAACTTTTTATTTTTTTCAAATAATTTATTAATTTTAATATTACTTGAAGTGAACAATTTTATTTGATTTAGTAATAATAAACAGTATTTGGGATGTAATATACTTTGTATTTTTGACACATCAAATTGCATTTCTTATGATATTCATATTGTGTCTATATATATATATATATGTAAATATAATCATATATATATGTATACATATATATTCTTAAAATATATGCCATGTCATATGTCAAGTGATATGTCTTTTAGACTCTGTATCGTTGCTATCGTTGTCAATATCGAGTTTGAACTGTTTGAATTCTTGCCATCTTACGTTTATTCTATTTGTCTACCTCTAATTCACTATCTGTCCGTAAATATGAAAATAGACTTTTAATTCTCCTCTCTCTAATCTGTTTCTAACTTTTTTTTTGGGTTAACTTTAATTACTCTCTATCTGATTAATAAACACAATATCAATCGTAAATAGCATATACCGTAGCTCCTTTGTCACTGCATCCTGCAATACTTCACCTAATATTAATTAAAAAGATATGGGCTTAAATTTAAACCTTGATACACTCCAAAATCTATTTTAAATCCCCTTTTTGTAACACTTTAAACCTATTCCAACGCTTGTCTTAACATTTCTATACATATCCATAATTTAATTTATTAACTGTCATAAACCTCTTTTCTTCCTGACTCAGAAAGAACTCACTGATCCCATATTAATAATGTATAGATAAGGCTAATTATAATTTTTTTTTACTATATTTTCTTACCCACAATGAAGACGCACAAAAATATTTTTAAATGAATCCAAATTGTAAGTAAAAATCCATTTAAAGTCTCGAATCATGAAAATAACAGTTAATAGAATTATAAATATTAGCGACATTTATGAATAAATAATGTTCAAACCGAATTAAAATAGTATTTACAAATAGTCTTTTAAAAAGATGAAAGCAATATCTGGGTTAAAAACGAAAAAAGCTTCATCTCTAATAAACGAACAATTATTTATTGTGACATCGTCACAATGCCGAGCTGCAATTATTAATCATATTTTTCATTTATTTAATTTAAAATATGTGCTCTCCATCCCAAATTATTAGTGAATTGTCCCTGTACATCATATTTTTCCTTTAACAAAAAAGTCATGCCGGTCATCTATCTAAAACCTTTCAGGGAAAATTTTGAATTGAAATAACATGACTTTCGGTTTACATCGGAAGTTCATATATAGTTATTTGGGGCCTCCCGCCCCTAAGTTTTCTATATATGTTTTCGTCTTTCATCTACTAACCCCGTTCTCGAGATTACACAGACGAGCGACAGTGAGAATTCATAGGTCTATAATTTTTTCAAATTGCAGCCCAAAAAGAATTTCGAATGTTTACAGCTGACTCTGGCTATGCTCGAGCCAAACTTTCGCTACAAAGCGATTGTAACGCTCGAAGTGGCAGAAATATTTATTACTCTACTTTCGTATCATTACAGCTATTGGGAGCTGAGAGACAAGTATATCTATCGACTCTGATTAAACTGTATTAAGAACCGTAAATTAACAGAAATTTAAAAAAAGTTTTATTGAGAGAATACATGTAAAAATGCAATTTAAAAAAAAAAATAGAAATTAAAAAATAGTATTAACTCAAAGAGGAAAATATAATGCATTTATTTTTTTTTAATATTGAAAACTGTGAAAAATAATTTTGTAAAATTCTTTTTTAATATCTATACTATTATTTATGAATTTTAAATTTAAAGTAGTCAGTTTTGCGTTACTTAGAAATAAAATTTATAGAAATTAGCAGCACTTAATGAGAAAATTATCGAAAGATGTTCCTCGTAATCAAAAAAAGGAAATATATGCAATATAAGAATTTACTTAGAATTGTTTAAACTGTTAAACATTAAAAAATTCAGTGATATTTTATAAAAATAATTTTTTAAAATATTAACCATTTTATTTTTTTAAAATAAAATTTAAAAATCCACGTGTTCCACAGTTTTAGAAGAATATGAATTAGAATTCTTTTCCGTTAGTTTACAAACTTTAAAAAAATGACTTCTCCACACAACTCTGTTTATAATTCTACTGTTTTCTATAATTTGAATGAAGCAGAATCAAACTGGGTTAGAAAATCTAACACCAATACAATGTTATCTTCCAGTGAAAAGGTAATATTAAATCCTGTCCAATATTCAGTAATGGGACATAATTGCGGAATTAGGCAATACGAAACGCCATTCGGGAGATATTCACACTTCGCTTTTCCTTTTTTATATAAAGGAATGAATAGAACTTACATAAAAAATAGTCATTATATGCCTCGTAGAATACTTTTCCAAGATTATTATGAAGATAAAATTAAGCATCATCTACAAGAAACAGCAAATTATCGTCAATATTTGAAGACGTCGAATGATCCAATGTTTGCAGCGGATAGTTTAATTTTGAAGTCTAAAATCGAAAAGTTTAGAATGTTACATAGCATCAGTTATTGTAACTCAATGTTCAATAAACTAGAAGTTGGATCACCGACAAATGAAGAATGCTTAAAGGTGGAGCCATTGTTCCAAAATATCGAAATTTCTTCCACTTACCATATAAATACGGATCCAGAACTTCTGAATCTTACTTGGGAGGAAGAAGAAACTTTATAATTTTAAAACTTTTATTTTATAAATTGGCATATACTTTTTAAAAATTTAATTAATATTTTTTAAATGTATTTATAATGTTATTTACAACATTTAAACATTTGAATTTGATTTTAAGAATTATATAAAGAAAAATAGCCTTATTTATTATATAATAATCAAAGAATATTTGCATTAAAATATTTATCGTGAAGTAAGATTCTCATAAAAAAATCAATTTTGCATAAATTAAATAATATTTTTTATTCATTAAGAGAGTGCTGAAAATTAATCAGAAGATTAAAATTCAAGGTTTTCTGAAAGATAAAATTTCTATTAGTTAATTTAAAAGCTTATATAATTTTAAACAGGCATTTTATCATTAGATTAACAAATGTAACTTTTATATAATATATAAATAAATGACTTAAATCAATGTGAAGCTTTAAACTAATAACTTTAGATGTATTTATGATAGAAACACGCCATAAACAGCATATAAAATCTTAAAAATGAAGCTTTTGTATGCCGTTTACAGGATATTTTATTTCCATTCTATCATATATACGTCCAATTTTTTAATTCTTTGTTTTATTGCATCTCACAGCTGTTAAAAACTTCTACGATCACAGCACAGTTAACCTTACATTGTATACTTTTGTTGCCATATTCAATTAGTTAAAGGTTTTAAAAATGAATTAACGTTAACAAAACTTGAAAACATTAATACAGGTGTCCCTTGCTTAACACTGGATTTGATTAACGCGCAAAATTAATTGCGGCAATCCCTTTATATATGCAGCTGAAGTTTTAATTTATTAACCGTGTTAACCAAGAGATACCTGTACTGTACATAAAAATTAAAAAATTAAGCTTTACAGAGTTTATGTCTCTTATAGGCTATTTTTATTATATGTAAAACCAAAATTATCAATTTAAAATTTCACAAGGGCCTTTAAATTACCCTCTAATTATAGAAATATATTCAAACAGTCAATCAGTTTAGAAAATATAAGAGATCAATTTCATTAGTATTCTTGATGATTTATTAGAATTTAAATTCAGTTAAATTCTAAAATAAAATTTTAAAGTTAATTAAATTATTTTTTTAAATTTAATATTATTATAAGAACAGCCAAAAGTCACACAATAGTTTACTTTAATTCATAAAGTTTACTTCCTTTTCTGTATCATTTTTTTTATTCAAACGTAATAGAAAATTGATCCTTACTTACAGGATGGCTCAAATGACAGTTAACTATAATAAAGACTAACTTTTTGTCTTATTAAAATACTTTATTACTTAGAAACTTTGCAAAAATTGTTTAAAATGATGCTTTTCCAATACACAAATTACAACGCTTTCACACTTTTTCACAACTTAGTTATTTTCTTTCTCCCTTAAAAAAAAATCTCAAATTTGAACGAAAGTTTATTCATGCATTTATAAGACATTTTAGCATATATACCTGTTTATAAGTCAACTTTTGAGTCTGAAAAATATCTTTCTAAAACTAGGGGTCGATGGGTATAAAATGCGAAACTATTATAGTGTGGGAAATAAATAGAACAGCACCGTTCAAACTCGCTATACAATAACTTCAGCAAGCTGCCACAAATATTCTAATATTTGTGTTCGGTTAAATTATATAACTCGTTTAATTAACATAAGAATTAATATAATAAAATTTTAATATAAATAAATTCTACACTACATGCTGCTTCCAGCTGATGCGCCATAGCAGTGTTCTACTATCAAGAGTTATATGTTATCTTATTACTATTATAATATCATTCTGGGTAAATTATTGATTAATATTATTATAATATTATTAAAAGTGTTGATTTTAGCTTGTTAAATACGTTAGAGCTGATGTATAGTACAATACAGTGTTAATACAATAGAGTTCTAAGATTTTTAGAGGACGCTTAGCATCGTATGTAGATGAAAGGTTTCTGACTTTTATATTAGTATAATGTAACTTCACTCAGTACAGATCAGTTGCAATTTCGCAATATTTCCCACAAGCAAATCAATTTTCCAAAATGTAGGATATATCCTGCTAGCTGGCAACATTGTTACGAACAGACTATAAAAGAAAATAAAAACGATTAGGGCAGAACACAGTATCTCATTTTGCTCCAACTTTTAACATCCGAGTTATAGCGTTTTATTGAATCCAACGACAATCTAATGATATTAAAATAAAGCGCTGACTACATTTAAATAATTTCTGAAGTTTTGAACAGAAGATAAATGATTTAATACACTTATTTTCACGGAAACACAAAATGAATATTGTAAACTGAACCAAAATATTCCACGCTACACAATATCACGCAATCGACTCGAGACAAATGCAGTCTCTCGCCGGCAATGTAATCGGTCGCTTGAACATAGTTTGAATATTCCCCTATAGGTCAATAGTGTTTAGCACTACACAGACCACTGATCTTCTCTACTATCTCTATCTTGTCCCATCTTCCTCTAAATATTTGATAATGTGTTACTTGAATAATATATTAATGACAATTTTATTCCAAAATAACGCTAGTTCTGATATAATTGTAATAAAATTCAACAGTAATACCTTCAGTTTTATTGAAACCATTATATGATCAAGATGTGAGGAAGATCTGAAGATCTGAGATAGAACTTAGACCAGTCAAAAATGAAGCCCCACTACTCTTCGAAATTCGTAAAAATATACGAATAAAATCAATAAAATAATAAAAAATTCATCCATTTTATGATAAGAAAATTTAATTTATATTATTATATATAATGTTTTTACATAAAAGACGAAATTTTGAGAACCCTCCGCTCTAGTGCACAGAGCAAGTGACCTTGTTAATTAACACTAATTCTTTATTTGAGCTTGGATACAATTATATTTTGATTAATTATAAATACTTAATTAATTAAATTTAGTATATTTATTTAAATAAAATTAATGAGTAAAAGTAATGATAAATTATATAAATTCAAACAAAATTAATTGTTACTTTTCATCATTCAAACTTACCGTTAATGATTTTTATTTTGTACTATAGATACTGTACTTAAAACTTATTTCCATATTTAGACTTATTACAATATTTAATAATCATTTAAAAGTACTGTAATTTCAATTAAGCAGTATTAAGGTTCCACTGTTTTCTCGAAAGCATTTAAGTATATCGTTATTTGATATATGCACTTTACGTATATAGCCCTAAGTGCAAGTAATTGTATCTAAGGATACCTTGACTCAATAAGAAATCAGAGTTACATATTTTATTTTCATAAATAAAATCAATTATAAATATCAAAAATAAAAATTAACGATATTTTAAAGATATATTTT